CCTGAACAACCAATGGGTCACAGAGGAAATTAAAGAAGAAATTAGACAGTTTCTACAAGTAAATGATAATGCCAGGACAACATACAGGAATTTATGGGACACAATGAAAGCAGTTCTACACAGGAAATTCATAGCAGTGAATGCCCATATTAGGAAAGCAAAGGGAACTCAAATAACCTAATCCAGAACCTCAAGTTCTTAGAAAAAGAAAAGCATAACAAACCCAAAGCCCATACAAGAGAGGAAATTATAAAGATGAGAGCAGGAATCAATGCAATGGAGACTAGGAGAACAATACAAAAAATCAATGAATCAAAGAGTTGGTTTTTCGACAGAATAAATAAAATCGATAAACCTTTAGCCAACCTTATCAAAAAAGGAAAGAAAAGGCTCAAATTCATGCAATTAAGAATGAAAAAGGGGAAGTCACAACAGACCCAGCAGAAATCCAGAGGATCATCAATACCTACTTTGAGAACCTGGACTTTAATAAAATGAAAAACACAGAAGAAATGCACAGATTCCTAGATACATACAAATTGCCAAAGTTAAATGAAGAAGATATAGAAATTCTAAACACTGCAATTGCAATAAGTGAAATTGAAAACGTAATGAAAAATTTACCAACAAAGAAAAGCCCAGGTCCGGATGTCTTCACTGCTGAATTCTATAAGACATTTAAAGAACTATCACCATTAATCACTAAACTCATCAAGGAAACTGAAAGGGAAGCAAGGCTTCCAAATTCATTCCTGGAAGCAAATGTTACTTTGATTCCAAAATCAGGGAAAAAAGAGAACAACAGGCCAATCTCCCTAATGAACATAGATACAAAAGTCCTCAATAAGATACTGGCAAACAGAATACAGAGGGTCATCAAGAAGATCATGTACCCTGAACAATGAATTATATTAACAGAGCCAAGGACAAAAACCATATGATCATCTCAATAGATCCAGAAAAGGCATTCAACAAAATTCAACACCCATTCATGATAAAAACCCTACAAAAATTTGGAATAGAAGGTCTTTATCTCCACCTGATTAAGGCTATCTATGAAAAACTAACAGCCAGCATCATACTAAATGGTCAAAACCTAAAAATTTTCATGCTAAAATCAGGAACAAGACAAGGATGCCCACTATCACCACTCCTGTTCAATATACTTCTGGAAACATTAGCCGCAGCAATTAGAAAAGAGCAAGAAATAAAAGGAAGAAAGATAGGAAAAGAAGAAATAAAACTGTCATTATTTGCTGATGATATGATACTTTACATAGAAGACCCAAAAAACTCAGCCAAAAGACTTCTAGACTTGACAGATTCAGTAGAGTAGCTGGATACAAGATCAACACTCAAAAAACAATAGCCTTCTTGTACACAAATAACAGACTCACTGAGACAGAAATTAGGGAAACAACTCCTTTTACAATAGCACCCAAAACCCAAAATATATAGGAATCAATCTAACAAAGGAAGCAAAAGACCTCTACACTGAAAGCTACAGCTCTCTGAAAAAGGAGATTGAGGAGGATATAGGAAAATGGAAAGACATCCCTTGTTCCTGGATAGGAAGAACCAATATAGTGAAAATGGCCATACTTCCAAAACTGCTGTATAGATTTAATGCAATGCCGATTGAAATTCCAACAATATATTCAACAGAACTAGAGAAAACAATCCAAAAATTCATTTGGAATCAGAAGAGACCTAGAATAGCAAAAGCAATTCTAGGAAACAGACATGGCTGAGGGTATCACAATCCCCAACTTGAAACTATACTACAAAGCTACTGTGATAAAAAAAAAAAAAACAGCATGGTACTGCATGCCAAAGAAACAGACCCGAGGATCAGTGGAATAGATTAGAAGATGCAGGAACAACTCCAGACACACTCAGCCACCTCATCTTTGACAAAGGAGCCAACCACCCTCACTGGAGGAAAGATAGCCTATTTAATAAATGGTGTTGGAGAAACTGGATTTCAACCTGCCAAAGATTAAAACTA